GACGTAACGCCAGCGCTCGGCACGCGCCATGTCGTCTCGAGCAGCAGCCCGAGATGCCGTTTCTCTCGGCACTGCCAAACCCGCGGGCGGAGGGCCCCCCTTGGGACGCGTCAGTGGCCGGCGCCAGGCCTGAAAACTCTCTGCGCGAATACGTGAAATCAAACAGTATTAGGTTGGCAACGCCAAGCTGCTCTCGCCGCGCGCTGGCCCACGCGCGCCAGCGCTGGGCCCCGGCCTGAAGCGGGCCAAAACGCACGCCAGCTGGAAAGCGGCGAGCGGCTCCCTCCTCGAGAAGGCACCCCGCGCGACGTGGCCGACCGGCCGCCCCGCCTGCTTGCCGGTCGAGAAAGCGGAACAGGCCGCCTCCAACAGCGCCGGCCGGGTCTCCCACGTGCGCTCGCGGGGCAAAGACGCGACGCCCGCGTTCGCGTCGACGGCGGGGCCAGTGAACTTCTGGTCAGCGCCCGACTTCGCCGCGCCTCTGCAGGGCAGGTCCAGGGCAACGAGCGCCCGCTCCGCAACCTCGCAGTCCGAGTCCACGCCGATGCCGGCGCTGACCACGGCGACGCCGTCGACGTTGATAGCGGCGGCGTTGTCCTCCGCGATCGCCGGGGCGCCGCGCCGGTTGCGCGCGAGCCGGTCGGGCCCGAGACCAGGCCAAGACCGCGCCGGTGACGAGCTCCTTGCAGAAGCGCAGGCCGTGGCTCCACCCCATGGGTAGGATGCGTCGCCGAAAACTGAAACGGCCATGGACTATCCGCGCGGGGCCAATGTGAGCCGCAAAAGTATGGGCGAATTTCTGCGAAGGCATTCGGCCTCGCAGCAGGTGGCAGAAAATGCCGGTCAAGTCCGGGAGAGAGGTCGCTGCGACAGAGAGCGCTGCCCAGTTCGAGCTGCGCCGCGCGCGGGTCACCAGCCTCGGGGGCACGCGCGCTTTGCCGACTGCCCGCGGTGGAGAGCGCGGCGCGACGCGGATCGGCGCAACGAAAGTCGACCGGCCGAGCGTCGATGGCCGGCCGCAGCTGGCCAGACGTCCCGCGCGCAAGGAAGACGAGGACTGCGCGCGGGCCCTCGGGCCCAGCTGCCGCCGCGCCCGCGCCCGCCAGCTGCCCCGCGAATTTCGCGTGGGCAAGCGGGCCCCTGATCGGCGCGGGGTCGGAATAGAGGATGCTCGGGGATTATCCGAGGTCCTCTATACGCGCCAATCGCTTGCGCCGATCTACCCGCGCCTCCCGCGCATCGCCTGTCAGCCACGCCGCCGGCTGGCAGTGTGGCCCGGGCGCCGGCAGGACGACGTTGCCCTCCCGGCGGGCGGCGCGCTCCTCCGGCTCTCGCAGGTTGCCGGGGCGAGAACCGCACGGCGCAATGAGGGCTGAAGCGGCCGAGCAGGTGGGGGGGCCAGCTCGTTCGATTGCACTTCGAAGGTGCTCCACTGACGCACTCTGAGACGCTTATGCAGGCGAGGTAGGCTATGCCCTGGCTGCGCCATGCAACGAATCTGTCGACGACGTCACGAGCGAGGTTGCCAATGTGCCCATGGCGTCGCAGGCGAGAACGGACACGATGTCACAGACAGAGAGCCGGACTCCACCGCGGGGCCTGCCTCGCGCGGAGCCGCCAGGTCAGCAGTTCCCGCGGGACCAGCGGGGGGCCCATGGCCGGCGATCACTCGGCTCCAGCCGCAGCATTTGCTGCGGCCTCCGCCCTTCGCCTTGCCCGACTGCAGCCGACGAATCTCCTCCGCCCGCCGATGGAAATTCTTCTCGAGCTCCCCCGTGCTCGGCAAGCCGCCGCCGGCGGCGGCCCCCCGCCTGGCGCCAGCACCACGAGTGGCCTGCCGATCCTCGCACACTTTTTTGCGCCCGTGCTTCGCCGTGGGAAGCTCCTTACGCGACTCCTGACGGATGTGATCCCGGAGACCCCGGGCTACCACGATGAGGCCCCGGGTCACCCCTGTGCCAAGATGCAGGATCTCGCCTCGAGAAGACCGTCCGATCCGCCACGAGACACCAGGCGTTCGCGATGTCGCCACTCGGCGGGGTGGGCCGTGCGCAGCAGGAACTCCGCACAGGCCAGCTCCGTGATGTTGGGCTGGTCGCAAGATATAGCATACTCCAGGAATCGCATGGCCAGTCCGTGGCCGCCGACGCCGATGTCGGCAACGCTGAGACCACATTCGTGGCGCCAGGTGGCGTGGCGGCTGCGAGGGTGCTGATCTTGCTACTCCAGATTTCGTAATAAAAGGGAGGGGGTCTGGACCCTCCAAGACAAGCCATTTCAGACCTCCCCCGTGGGAGAACCCTCCAAAACATCGTCCCCAGACCCCCCCAGGCTCTCCAAGATAGCCTGGAAGAGACCCCCCCCGAAATGAGACCCCCCTCCCTTTATTACGAAATCTGGAGTAGGCAGTATGTTGGACACGCCAGGATGCTGTACGAGGGCCGCGGATCGGCCAGTGCTCCCAGCTGCTTTCCGTGAGGCATGCCGCGGCCTCCTTGAACATGCGGCGGCGCTCCCCGTCCGCCGGAAATCTCGATCGAGCGGGCACGGGCAGCCAGGTCCGCGCCAACCTCCGCAGCCGCCCCCACCTTCAGCGAGAGCACCTCGTCCCACACTTGTCGGGTCGGGCGAAAGGGGGGGATAGCAAAGGGGGGGTTGAGAATCAGCTCACGCAGCTGATTTTCCCGGCGCCTCCCGGCGCCGGGAGCGGCCATGTATCGAGGAATTGGCCCCTCGGTGAGGCCGAAACCAGCTGCATGCAGCAAATATCGTAACCCCCCCTTTCCCAATCCCCCCCTTTCGCCCGACCCGAGCTTGGGCGACCGCGAAGCCGGCAAGCGCCGCGCAGTGGTCCGCGGCGCCATCCTGCAGCACTGTGTGAGGCCCCGTCCAGCTCGAGGCCGCCTTCGCGATCCAGACATTTTAGGGGCAGCTCCTGGCACCGCAGAGCTGCCCACATCGATCACACAACTCGGACGCGCTCCAGGCGTCGGAATCACCACCAAACTGCTGCCCCGAGGGACGCAGCGGAACTTTGGCCCCCCCTACTGACAGGACGGGAGGGGTCCGCGCCTGGCGGAGAGCGGAGGCCCACCCCCGCGGACTCGAGGCTGGACGACAGCCAGAAGGGGTCGGGCGCCCAGTCGATGCCGTACGCCCTCGGCGGATTCCTCAGAATCGTTCCCTGCGCGCTCCCAGGTATGAGGTGGCCGTCCACGTCGAGCGTCACAAGCCCAGAAGCCCGCCACCCCAGGGACCGTCACAGCGGGGGCAGATGTCGCCATCTGGCGTCGCGCGTGCCAGAGGACGTTCTGGCCCGATGCTCCCGTCGGGGCTGGCATCTCGAGGACACTCTCGTAGTCGATCACGCTCCACGGCAAGGAGGACCCCGATCTGCCAGCCTGTGCCCTTCTGCCACTGGATCGCGATGCGTCGGCCTGGGCACAGGACATTTGCAGCCGGCATACAGACAGGTGAAAGCGATGCCGAACAACACTCCGAGCACGAACGCGAGAGCTGCGCGAAGCCAGACGCTTCCGCTGAACTGATGAGCCAACCGGCAGCGGCCTGCATAACCCAAATGGATGAAGGCACTGAGAGTGGCGAGGGACGTGCGGGCTCCGGAGACGAGCCAGCTGAGACAAGCGAGAGCTGGAAAACCCATCGGCTGCCGACGAGCTGCAACAACATGGCCTGCGAACGGCCACGAGTTCCGCGGCAAACAGCGTCGCTTGACCGTTGCATGTATACGTGTATGTATGTGTATATATATATATATAGAGAGAGAGAGAGAGAGAGAGAGAGAGCGAGAGAGAGGGAGAGAAAGAGAGAGAGAGAGAGAAGGAGAGAGAGAGAGAGAGAGAGATATTGGAAACATAAAAAGAAAGACAGGAAGAGAAAGAGAGAGAAAGAAAGAGATAGAGAGACTAACAAACAGAGTGCGAGAGCAAAAAGAAAGAGGGACAGGCAAGAGAAAAAGACAACTACCTGGAGACGGGACCGATCAATACAAACGGACATGTTGAAGGACCCGCAGGAGCTCACGAAAGTGGCGACGGTGGCGCAGTTCGCAGCCACGGGGGGGCCGCGAGGTCTCGGCAGGGTGTGTTTACAACTCCCCTGCGCTGGGCCTCCCATGAGCCCACGAACGTTGCGACGGTGGCGCGATTCGCAGCCCCCCAGGGAGCCGCGAAGTCTCGGCTAGATTTGTTTACAACTCGACTCCGCCGGGCCTCCCATGAGCCCACGAAAGTGTCGACGGTGGCGCAATTCGCAACCACTCCTGGGAGCCGCGAGGTCTCGGCTGAGTGTGTTTACAACTCCGCTCCGCTAGGCCTCCCATGAGCCCACGAAAGGATCAACACATGCGCACTTCGCAACCCCCTCATGGGGCCGCGAGGTCTCGGCTGTGTGCGTGTGTCTACAACTCCACTTCGCTGGGCCTCCCAGGTGCCCACAAACGTAGCGACACATGCGAACTTCGCAGCCCTCCAAGAAACCGCGTGGGCTCGACTGGGTGTGTTTACAACTCCACTCCGTTAGGCCTCCCAGGAGCCCACGCAAATGGCGACGGTGGCGCACTGCGAAGCCACTCAAAGAGCTGCGAGGTCTCGTCTTGGTGTGTTTACAACTCCACTCCGCTGGGCTTCCCAGGAGCCCACGAAGGTGGCGACGGTGGCGCAGTCCGCAGCCCCCTCGGGGGGCCGCGAGGTCCTCCCTCCCAGGAGCACACGAGAGCTGCAGAGTCACAACGGGGCTGCAACGCAAGCAGGACGCAGGAGAGAACGGAGGAGGAAGAGAAGAAGGAAGAGGAGACAGGAGACGGGAAGTAGGAAGCAGGAGGGGGGGAAGAAGGAGGGGTGGAGACCACAGTGCTCTTTTCAAAATCCAGCACAGGAGGAGTGGGAACAAATCACCAGGCGACGCCCTGGCGCGGAGCTCAGACAACGCGAGGCGGGGATGACGAGAGACAATGACCGGGCCAGGGTGCCGCGGGTTGCCTGCGCTGGTCTGCTGCGCCGGTCGCGGCAGCCCGGTCTGCAGGACTCGCGGCGCCGGCCTTCGCACGGAGAGGGGAGCCGAGTGGCTCTTGGGAACGACAAGGGCGGGAAGGCCACAGTCACCGGGAGACCCTCGAGGACGCCGAGTCAAGGAGGAAGGGGACGCGCGGAGTCGTGCGTGTGCTCATGGAGGAAGAGGAGGAGGAGGAGGAGGAGGAGGAGGAGGAGGAGGAGGAGGAGGAGGAGGAGGGGCGGGCCTTCTCAGAAGGCTCGGAAGTCCCCCGGCCTTCGGAGAAGTTGTCAAGAAGAGCCTTCCCCGAAGGCGCAAAGCACTTCTCAGAAGGCCCGAGGGCTTCTGAGAAGCCCCGCCGCCTTCTGAGGAGGCCCCCTCCCTCTCGTTTCCCCCCCCCTCGCCCGCCGCCGAGTAGCGGCGACCGCAAGGGGGTGGCACGAGGGGAGCGGCCTTCCGAGAAGGCGGGGGGGCTTCCGAGGAGGCAGGGGGGCTCCTCAAGCGCCCTCCCGGTAGGAACACAGAAAGCCGACACCAGCACCACCAGGGACCGCCGGCGGGAAAAGCCAGGGAGAGAAGTCCCCTGGTGGTGTGGCCCCCCCTCTCGCTCGGGACATCCCCACCCCCGGCTCGGAGAAGCGTCGTGGACCTCCTCGCTGGAGGTGGCCCCCTGGTGGTGTTGGCGTCGCTTCTCCTTCTCCCCACTCGGCTTCTGATAAGACTTCGTGGAAGGAGGAGGAGAAGGAGGAGGAGGAGGAGCAGGAGGAGGAGGAGGAGGAGGAGGAGGTGGAGGTCCCCTTCTCAGGAGGCCCCCGTGCCCTCTGAAGAGGCCCCTCGCCCTGCCTTCTCGGGAGCCCGCCCGCCTCTCGCGGCACCCGCTTTGTGTGGGCGCCGCCGAGCTGGGCGGAGGAAGGACGCCCTGCGCGCACCCCAAGGAGGGACGCCATGCACGCACCCTTTTTGGAGGCCTGGAAATAGGCACCAACACCAACACAGGGCGTTGCCTCCACAGGGGGAAGATGATTCTCGATTTCGGTGTTGGTGGTAATATTTCGGCCACCTTGGAAGCCCGATTATTACCACCATCACCGAGATCGGGATCTTCTTCCTTCTGTGGAGGCACACCGCCGAAATTGGTGTTGGTGTCAACCTCTAGGCCTGCGACCTTTGTGAGCGCCGCCCAACCAGGCGAAGGAGCAAGCTCGACTTGGACGAAGAGAAGGGTTCATCAAAGGCAGGTTTGCGAATCCGCTCCCGCGGCTCGTTTCCCTGGCGCCTCCCGGCGCCAGAGGCGCCGCTGCGTCGGGGAGAGCGCCAAACAGCGAAAACGAGACCAGCTGCATGCAGCAAATTTCGTACAGTAAAAACCAATCCACCAACCAAAAACTTCCACAAGAAACCCAACCCTGAGACCCCAGGACATCCACGGTTTTTGTGGGTGTGGGAACGTCACGCGTTCCACAGCACAACCATCGTGCAGCAGATTTCGTACCCCCCAGTCCCGATCCCCGTCGTCAAGCTGTACAGCAGGAACAACCAACCGATCGTAGGTTGGAACCTGGGAAAACTGGAGGATAAGGAAGAAACCGAGAAGCACGAAGAACGGCAACACAGAGTCAGGCGAGTGTGCATGTTCTTTGAAAGACATGCTAAGGATCGCTCCAAAGCGTGTCAAGAACCAAGACGCCCATGCGTGCTACGGCGGCATTGAGCTCACTGCGCCGCTTGCATGAAGGGTGCGCCGCCGCTTCCCGATCCCCTTGTTTCCGTCCGACCCACCGAGCCGTGCCAGGCGTGCCGCCCTCCAAGCTCGGCCAGCAAAGTCTGTTCACCAGACCTGAGCTGAAGATGGGCCTGACCAAAACTTGGTGTGTTAGTGCAGTTGGTGTCGCCTCAGATGGAACGTCGTCGCCTATTCTGTCGAAGATGCATGCGACCGCCCCCCAGGTCGGTAGCAGACTAGCGCCTCGGGCCCACAACATCCAGACATGCATCTTTCCGCAGGTCGATGCATGGAATCTCTCCGACCTCATTCCACCCCCGATGTCACAGAAGTGCACAACAATGCACCGTCGAAGGGGTCGATCGGTCATCCTGCATGCCTGGAAAGTTTCCCACGGAGGAGCTCCTCTACTACATCCTCGAATGCATCACAATCTTTGCTCTGCACACAAAGGTCGTTCGATACTAACGCTTCTTAATGAGATGGCGCAAGAGATAGGTCCTTCACGAGAAGAGACGGGGTCTCTGTAGCCAGACCAGTAGTGGTACAACCGCTTGTCAGGACCAGCAGCGGCGGCGCAAGCAGCCAACTTCGCGTGTCGCGCCCCGCGATGCGCGACTCGCGGCCATCTTCGTGCCCTCGCGCCGCCGTCAGGGCGGAAGTCGCCCCTCCACTGAAGCTGCGATGCGCGACGCCCGACTGTCTTCGCGCCCCTGGGGATCACCTAGGCTACGCACTGCTTCAGAACGCTTGCGCCTACAATGCTTCGGGTCCGCGAGCTCCAAGATCTGCAGGCTGCGCGCCCAGCTTCACCGAAAGACAGCAGCGCGTGGACCCGAAATAAAATTGTTCGACGAAGCTTCGAAGGGGTAGTTCTGGCAACAATCCGGTAAAGTGGACCGAGTGGAACGCAGCCGGGGTGGCAATCATGACTGTATGGGCTGGCGGGGATTGTGGGACAGGGGCTTCGAGGTCATATGGGGTCGACACGGAGCAGGAGGAGGAAGAGGAGGAGGAGGAAGAGGAGGAGGACGCTGGCCATGTCCGCATCTGCATCGTCAGCGGGACCCGCCCCCCCCCCCGAGGGGATCGTTGCACACGTGCGGGGCTCATAGGCGGTCGACACGAAGCCGCCCATCGGAAAGGGTTTGGGGCGGGGATGTCGGCGACTTGGCGTGCTGTTGCAACTGCATGCCTTTTTCCACCCCGTTGTCAGAAGGATGTTCCAGAACACATGGTTCGTCCAAGCGTGACCAAAGCAGAGGCGAGAGCTCGGCGAGGGACGCGGAACGCGGGTGTTCAAGAATGCGAGCGACGTGCTCCTCACCACCCGCTGCTGCTCTCAGTCCTCCCTGCTTCGCTGCCTCGAGGAACAGTGTGAGCTTTGCCGTTCCAGGCAGACATCCGATCAGAGTCGCTCCCTAGAGCTCTCCCAGACAGCATTCTGACCAACGTCTCGAATCGGCCGCAGCAGTGACGACGAGGAAGCCCCTGAAGGTTCCCTGGCTCTGTCTTCCCCGCCTCGCCGTGGTCCGCCAGATTGAAGCCCGATTTAGTGGCCAAATCTGTTTCCAGCCCTGTCGCGAAGAACCAGCAGTGACAAAAACATGCGCACATCAGCGGAGCAACGAGACCGAAAGGGATGGGCGGGCGCCGTTGCGGTGTGTGCGAGGAGGGCGCCGACATGTCAACCGGCAACAGGACGGAACCTCCGCGGGGGGTGGGAGAGCCATGCTTGCTTCACGGGTGCCTCGCACACGGGACCCACCAATTAGGGACATGGGCCAATGGCCACTGGCGTGGCTCAGGATACTCCAGATTTCGTAATAAAAGGGAGGGGGTCTGGACCCTCCAAGACAAGCCGTTTCAGACCCCCCCCCGTGGGAGAACCCTCCAAAACATCGTCCCCAGACCCCCCCAGGCCTTCCAAGATAGCCTGGAAGAGACCCCCCCCGAAATGAGACCCCCCTCCCTTTATTACGAAATCTGGAGTATCTTCAGGGCAAAGACAGATGCGCCATTCCAGCCGGCCTTTCACTGCACGAGGCAAGCTCCAAAATGCTCAGAGGAGCATGCGGAGTGCTCTTGGCCAGAGTTTCCAGGGGCGCTCTCGGCGTTCCCGTTGTGGCCAAACCCGCCCAAACCGACTCCACTCCTCCTCCTCCTCCTCCTCCTCCTCCTCCTCCTCCTCGTCCTCCTCCTCCTCGTCCTCCTCCTCCTCCCCCTCCTCCTCCTCCTCCTTCTCCTCCTCCTCCTCCTCCAGCACCCACAATATTTGAAGCATCGTTCACACTGCCGTAGAAGTCTCCGACGCCTCAAGGGACTCCCTTGAGAGTCTCTGAGGCCGCCTTGGAGGCCAAGGGGTCCGGCCCAACAGGCAAACACGCAATAGACACGCATGTCTGGCTTCTTACATGATGCCGCGCGCCACCCTTTTCGGCCTTACGAGCCCCCACGAGAGCGCCAGGAGGGCCCAACAGGCCCTCCCCCAAAGGGCCTAGATGCCCAAAGGGGCCCCCAAGAGGGGGAGTACGGCGTCAAATTTAGAGCCCTTTCCCTCATATTAGATTATTAGAAGACGAAAGAACGGCATAAACATAAACTTTTGGCGCTCCGCGCGGATTTCTTGGATCTGCGCTGGACCCCCCTCCCTGGCACGCGGAGCGCGCCAGGGGCGGTGCCAGAGGCGCCGCCAGGGGGGGCCCAGGCGCCGATCTAAGAAATCCGCGCGGAGCCCCACAAGTGAATGTTTATGCCGTTGATTTCTTCTTCAATTTAATGCCCTTTCCCCCTGTGCGGCCCCCGAGACTACCAGCGAGATTCCAAGAGACGATGCCCCCCACGAAGCTCCCGAGAGCGCCCCACGAGGCCCCAGGACGCCCTCAGGCCCCCAAACCTAAAAGGCCCCCCAGAGGCCCCTGAGAGAGAACCCCAGCAGCTCCTCAAGAGGCCCTAAAAGCGTATCCAAGAGGCCCCCTGGTCCACGACACAAGCACGGTGGCGGGATGGGCTGGAGTGAGTAAATAAGTAAGTAAATAAGTACGTAAATAATTAATGCAGCAAAAGGCCAAATAGTGATGAACTGCACGGTGGGAAAGGACAACTGAAACCCTGGAGTGTGAAGTACGCCCTGGATTGGCATGAAGCGATGCGTTCCTCTGCGCCTGGCAGACAACCAGCCGCGTGCCGATAGGGCAACTGCAGGCGGCGACGCTTGTCGGGATGGGCCGAAGACCATTCGACCCGCCATCCCCGTTGCCTGCCGGAAGGGTGCTTGGGGTACCAAACCTGACAACCTTTTGCTGGCCCTACCTTAAAATGCATTGTGGTTTCCGGCCCAGCGCGCCAGTCACGCGGAGAAACTCAACGTCTGGGAAATCCCCCGCCAAGACGCCCAAGATGGCCTACGACACGGCCACGATGGCCCTCAAGACGGCCACCAAGACGCCTCAAGAAAGCCCAATATGGCCGTAAGGTGTCTCCAAGACGGCCCAAGAAGCCCCCACGATGCCCCAAGAGGGCTTCAATAGGACCTCCAGGAAGCCATTCAATTGTTTTCGGGTTCTCGCCTGTTCGGACTTCCGGAGCCCAAAATGACCCGAAACAAACCCAAATCGCCACAAGACGGCTCAGCAAGCCCCCACAGGTCCCGAAAAATAGCGCCAAAGCTTCTCCAAAACAACCCCAGGACGGCCCCAACATTGCCAAAAAGCTTTCAAGCGGCCCTAAAGAGCCCCACGCGGTCCCCGAGACGGTCCAGGCAGGCCCCCACAGGACGCCCTCCAGATGCACCAAACGGCCCAAGAGCACCCCAAGAAGGCCCCAGAGAGCCCCAGAGTGGCCCAAGGAGAGAGCCCCAAGAGGACCGCAAAAGGCCCCTCCCGGGTGTTCCCCCCCGTGGTGTCTCGAGGCGCTGGGGGAGCACGCAGACCACGAGTATGGCCGCAGTCGACATTTGACCACGCGGGCGTTTTCAGAAGGGCGGGGGGCGGCGGCGGTTCGCCGTAGGCGTCTTCCAAACATTGCGTCGTGCTCGCCGTTTCGAGCCTACGAGCGCCAAACAAACTCCCAAGATCACCCAAAGAGGATCCTGAAAAACCCTAACAGAGCCACACAGCCACAGTATTGCCCAATGGAGCCCCAACGTGGTTCCAGAGGGCCTCGAGCCGCCCAGGAGAGGGCCTCCCAGAAGTGATCACAGGGACCCACGATAGCCCCGAGACGTCCGAAGAAGGTTCCAAGAAGGGCCAGCAAACCCCCAAATGGCCAAACAGGCCCCCACCACGGCCCCTGGGCACGCCATCTCAAGGGAAAGACGATTCCATCTTCACCACCCGTGCTCCGCTGTGGCACAGAGAGTCCAACAACCATGCGCTCGAAAACGGCAACCAGAGACCAGAGCAAGAGCAAACGGCCACTACTCCCGCTTTCCCTGCACCCTCCTGGAAAAGAAACCATGGCGGCACCCCAGGCACGACCTTAGCTTGTTCCCCTTTTGAAGGGGAACAAGCTTCTATACTCACCAGCCCTGCTCCCCTCTTTCCTCACAACTATTCCTCGACCCTCGTCCTTCTCATCCGCTCAATATCACATTAAGCCACTATTCCTAACTCTCTCACCCATCTCGTCCACCTCCTCGTCCTTCATCCTCCCCATCTTCTCGCACTCCGTTTCCGCGTGTCCCGCCCTTTTCCTGATCCTTCCCCGCTTCTCATCCTCACGAGCCCTCTCCTCCTCGGTCCGCTGCTCTTCTAATCCGCCCTCATTCTTTTCCATGCCAGCCGCAATATGTAGAACGGGGTGCCCGCCGTTGCAATGCCAAGAGGGACCGGCGTCCAATCAAACGCGGGGCGTGGCACCGATACTCCGCCGACCCCGCTTGCCGGGGGTAGAAAATGCGTGTGAGACATTTGGCTGTCCCCCTCCCCCTTTCCCCATCCCCTGGGGTCCAAAGTGCCATTCTAGAGGGGGGGTAGGCACGAGATCGTCAACGCAACCATGGGCACTATGGAGCCCCCACAAAGCCCCAGGACAGCCCCAACAGGGTCCAGACAGAGCGCCAAGACAGTCGAAGAGAGCATCATGCAGGCCCAGGGTGGCCCCACGACGATCCAAGATGGCTTCAAGAGGGCCCACGAGGCCCTCAAGACAGACCAAAAGTGCCTCCGGAGGATAGCGGAGAGGGCCCCGAGAGGCCAAACGCATCCGCTTACCTCTGACAAACGTACATGTTCAGCACATTCGCTCTTTACGTTTTGACAGCGAACACGACGGCCCAAGTGGCCCCCAAGCTCGTCCCACGACAGCCCATGATGCCTCCAAGAAGGCCCCAAGACGGCCCAAGAGGGCCCAAAGACAGCCCCAGGGGCCCCCCAGTACGGCCCAAGACAGCCCCTGGAGGGTCCCCAGAGGGCTCCAAGAAAGCCCAAGAAGGGGAATACGAACTGACATTTCGAGCCTTTCCAACCAAGATGGCCAATCGAAACCCCGAAGGCCCCCGAGGTCCCCCCAAGGGCCCCAAAGAAGCTTTGAAAACGCCCACCAAGAAGGCCCCAAGAGGCCCTCACGAGGCCCCAAACAGCCTCCCAGATGCCCCCGAGAGTTCTCCAAGAGGCCCCTGAGAGGCATCACGAAAGACCCTCATATTCATCCAGGAATCTCCAGACCCAACAAATAACTTCCACGATCGTCTCAAACACTCACTCCTCGTGGGGATCGGCAGAAGGGCGTAAGCCACTTGAGTAAAATGATTGCCATTCTTATCGGCGGCGCGGTCATGGGGAAACCAGAGGTGGCGGGCTTTCCCAGAAGGATCAGCAGACCTCCATCTGAGAAGCTTTATACACAGTCTCCCAAGCCACAAAGGGCTTCTCAGAAGGCTGGTGGGCTTCTGAAAAGCCGGGCCGTCCTCTGAAAAGGCCCCTCTCAGACGGCCCTCAGCACGCCGCCGATAATAGAAAACTGCTACAACAACAAACGACCACTACGACCATTACTACCACTACTCCAACTACTCCTACTCCTCCTCATCCTCCTCCTCATCCGCATCATCCTGCTCCTCCTCCTCCTCTTCCTCCTCCTCCTCCTCCTACTACCACTACTACTACTACCACGACTACTACTAGTAGTACTAATGCTACAACTGCTACTACTACTACTACTACTACTACTACTACTACTACTACTACTACTACTACTACTACTACTACTACTACTACTACTACTACTACTACTACTACTACTACTACTACTACGACGACTACTACAACCACTGCTGCTACTACTACTACGACTAAGACTACTACTACTACTACTACTACTACTACTACTACTACTACTACCACTACTACGACGACTGCTACTTCTACGACTTCTGCAACTAGTCCTACTACTACTACTGCTACTACTACTACTACTACTACTACTACTACTACTACGACTACGACTACTACTACTACTACTACTACTACTACCACTACTACTACTACTGCTACTACCCCTATTTTCACAACAAATATAACTACTACTACTACTACTACTACTAATAATACTACGACTACTACTACTACTACAACTACTACTGCTACTACTCGAGCTGCTACCACTACTACTACTACTACTACTACTACTACTGCTGCTACTACTACGACCACTACTACTACGACTACTCGCACTACTACTACTACTACTACTACTACTGCTGCTGCTG